AATCTCCCAGCTTGTCATCTCAGGTGTAGATCAGTCAGTGATTAAAAAAAAAAAAGCATTAGTTGCAGTGGTGTAGCTCTTGCTGGCAGAGAGGGGCCTGGATATTTTTTTACAAATGTGTTGTGAACTACAGTAGTTGAGAAAACAGCAATTAAGATGTCTGAATTCTGTCTGTTAGCAACTTGTTGCTAGTATTGTTTTCATTACAGGTGCACTGTTGTATAATTTAGTCTCTGAATTTCTTTCAGAGGAAGACTGAGCCCTGCTTGTAATGTTCATCAAAGCGAGATTTCCCTTCAGGCTTTTTGCCTGGTTTTAGTAGTTCTGAACTCCAGTACTTCTGAGACTTAGACATGTGGAGAAGTTGTGAGCTCACGCAAAAGGAGGTGGAACGGTTCCCATCTGTAATGTGTCCAATAAAGACCGTTGGCATATACGTTATTTTAGTTACATTACGAATGTTACAGTATGCGTCGTAGCTATTTACTGTAGTTGGAACGGGTTCGCTTGCTGCATTGGTTTTCTCTGGAGCAAGAGGTGGATTGGCCCAGGCATTTTAGTGCATGTGGTGTGGCAGAATTGGTAGCAACTGTCTTGTTGAAAACATATTCATACATACCAGTACTTTTAAATTTTCCTGAAATCAAAGATCATCAAGAAATTCGGTTGGGAATTCCAAAGTGCCGATACTTTTGCATGACATGTTATGCTATTTTTATTTATTTATTTATTTGTAAGACTGGAAGGCCTTATCCATTTCAAACAACGGTCAGAAGTTGCTCGGTAAAACTTACCGTGAATCTTTCTCTTCTAGCCTATAAAATAGAAAGAATTGGAGGCGCAGTCTTAGTGTGGAATGGATTTGGGTTTCTTCTATGTAGTCGGCATATGAAAGGATGTGAAGAAAGAGGAAGTGAGGAAAAAGACATTTTAAAGGTTGAAGCAAGAAGACTTGATGAGAACTAAGTTCGTTCAGACCCTGCTTTCCAGGAAACATCTTTTGTTTGTTGGAAAGCAGGTAAAGACTAATTTAGTCAGAATAGGTATGTAATGATGTAAGATGTACTTCCTCAAAATTTGGACTTGATCCTGGATACATATATTTGGAGATGTGATGCTGACTAGGTCCTTTCTCTTCTCCTAGTCTTCTGTTATTAACAAAGTTTTCTTAGACTTCCTGATAAATGTTAGTGTGCCCTTTTCCACCTTGTCCCTACCTAGATGTTGGGGGGGGGGAAGAAATGTCCTTGATGTTTCTTGTTCTTGATGCTTCTCTCCATCCTCTCTGTCTGCTCTTGCTTCAGTTGTCAAAGGTGTGTGAAGTTTTGTATTACTTGACATGTGTGGCCTGTGAAGGCTGGCACGAAGTGTATTTGCAGTGTGACAGTTACATTTCATACAAAAGAAGTGTCTTTTACAATGTCTTGTTTCATTAAACAAAAGCTTGTTTATCTCAAACCAAAGAATCTTCAGCTTGTAAGATAGAGGCTGATGATGAGCTAGCCTTCTGTTTCTTCATTTTTTTTCATTTAAAAAAATTTTCCAGCTCTAAGATGCTGACTCTTCTGTCTGAGGATGGCATGTTTTGTCATGTTTTGGTACCACTTCTCAGACTTGAATGCCTTGAGCTTTTGCTAAACTTCATAGAAGGGGCTGAAGGGAGAAAAGCTAAGAAATAAAAATACCAGTAAATGTAGTGTTAGATGTCTGACTTTTACTCTAGGAGGGAATAAAGGCCCCGTGTAACAGGGGATGGAATTTAATCCCAGGTTTCTGTTTTGTTGTTCGCAAAATCGTGCCTTTTATTATACATTTATTCAGGTGGTTATCTTCTCAAGAGACGATGTTGTTCCTGGTTTTGTCCACATTTTGAAAACATTTATTTAGGAATTCTTATTAGAGTTAGCTTTCTGTTATTAGACTGAAATTTACAGCCTTAGATATTTTATTTCTGTAACTTAATTTGTGTAAATAATGTTAAATCCAATGCAATTTTCATTGTGTAAATTGCTTTCATTTTTCTGTTGGGTCAGTGAAAATAAATGTTTCATTTTCGTATAACCTAACACCATGCTGTGCATGCTTTTAATGCTGCGGGAAAATACATGAGTTCAGAAATGCCATTATGTTTTATATTCTTAAGTGATTTTTCTTGAATTCAAATATTTCTATATTACATTTTTCTGTAGTCGCCATTTGTGGTATAAACCGCTTGAATCTTGCTTTGAGAGTATGGTCTCTTACTTGAGAGTGCCCATCTCTTTTTTACGTCATCAGTATTAAGATTTCTATTCGTGCTATAACCAAAGACTTTCTGAGAATTGAGTCCCTGGTAGGCCACTTGTGACCTAGGTGTACCGTGGATGGTGGGACTCTTCAGTAACAGATCTCAGGATGTTTTGTATTGTCTTGCGTTAGTTGTGAAAACTTACTAATGGTAAGCCAGCAATTTTTTCTCATTTCTTTTTGAAAGACTGAGGATTGCTCATGATGGGGGACAGAAATTGAGGAGTTTTAAGAGTTAACAGCTCATTTTAGCAGAGCAAGGCAGCCTTGTGAATTGTTTATAGATTGTGGTTAAAGATGTTGTTTAAGTGTTGTATAGTTAGGCTTTAAAACATGTTTGGTAGGGCCTTGACACCTGAACAATCTATAGTGCATCATTTGACTCCAGGGTAATTGTTTTTTCATGTTGCAGTTTCACTAAGGGTGTAGCTGCTCTAATTGTATGCTGTGCATTTTTGCTGCATCCTTTGTGTAAGCATGAGTGCTCATCCAGATGTGTGGTTAGCTGGATAAGGGAGCTGAACTGTCTGAAAAATGAACAGTACAAAAAATCCTTTTCAGACGGTTCAGCTCTCCTTTCATGTGCAGCAACATGGGTCCTACCACCACCATGAGGGAGATGATAGGAGTGTGCGTGAAGGGCTTGGGGAATGCGTTGGGGCTGCTCCTTTGGGGAGCAAAGTGGACTTCAGCTGGATGAAGCTGACTGTTAAAATTCACTGCAACAATGCAGAGCTACCATACAGGGTGGTTGAGTGTTGTTTTTTTTTTGTTTGTTTGTTTGATTGTTTTTGGTTTGTGTTTTTTTGGTTTTGTTGTTTGTTTTTTTTTTAAAGGTCTTCTAGGGCACAAGCATCGTAGTGTATATGATCAGAACCATTGTGTTAACTTTCTCTTTCTTATGCAAAATATTCATGTAACTGTCATTTTCTCTGTTGAATTAGAATTTTATTCGTGGTGGTGGTTGAGGAGGAAGAAGGCAGGGAATTCACATCAAGCAGGAAGGTGGCGCAATGGGTTTAGTAGGCAGTATGCCTTCTTGTTCTCAGGAACTGTTTATTACTATTTTGCTAACACTTGTCCCTTCCTCTTCCCCTGCCCACAATAACTAAATATGATTTAAAGTGGAAATGACAAAATGCTATTTTTGGGCCATTCCACTGTTCGTTCTTTCAGGTTATGCAAAGGTACATGAAGTTACAAAGAGTATCTGTGGGACTGGGACGCTAAGTACATTGACACTGTATTTCGTTGTTTGTATAATACCTAACATAATAAAGTCTTTTAGGCAGCATTGTGGTTACTGTTTAATAATTCTGTTTCTCAATAAGTAACCAGATAATAAGTGGTTTGTTTCTTCAGGAAATCTTGTGCTGTAAAGGTATTCAAAGAAATAGGGAGCAAAAATAAAACTTGCATGGAATCAGAGAGCTGTGTCATCATCTAGATTTTGTTATTAACAGTATTTTGGGGAAGGTCTGTGCAGTGTTTTGGAAGGTGGGCTGAAAGACTTGGCATTGGGGGTAAGAAAACCTGTGAAATGATTGTGGTTCTTAGCAGTGTTTTTGGTCTCATTACCAGTGCTTCTGTTGGACGTACATCAACGTAAATGATTTCCTTTTAGTTCTAAAAGACAAGCATTTCTGTTCTACAGATTATTCCCATAGCTGGGAATTCAGGTGATGTTAGAGCCTCTATGTTCAAACTATTGTATTTTGATGAGGAGGAACTCCAGTTCATTGTGTGAAGTACCACACGTTTATTTGTTCCACAGGTAATCAAGAGGATTGGCTAAGTCAACTGTTTTGTGCTGGTTCTTTCAAACTGAGACTAAGAAACACTGATGAGAGATGGGCTAAAGAGGAATGTCAAGTTTCTAAGGTGTACCTTCTACTAAAAAAACCCCAAACAACAAAACAACAAACCAAACCCCAAAAACCAAAACCAACAAAACCCCCACAAAACATTATGAATGAGTTTAAGATGGGCAATAGCTACAGTGATAGGTATAGTTGAACATCTTAGGCCATAAGGCTGAAAATGGTACTACTGTTCATACCTTCTCATATGGTAAGTAGCAAGCTTGTAGCAGTCTGTTTATACTACGGTTTGAGGTTTTTATCTGCTCTGGCCTCACACCTGTTAAAAGCATTAAACAGTTGAAAAACTAGTATGTTCTTGGGATTGCTGGTTTCATATAGGTCTGTTTCATTAGAGGAAAAAGTAATCTCACATTAATATAATAGGCGTTCCTGTAGGAAATAGTGGCTCAGTATCCATATGCTTTTAGCTCAAACATAACGAGAAAGTACATGAGAAATAAACATGCTTTGGGGAAAATGGTTAATTCTCCAATTCTTTCCTCCCTGTCGTTTGTGGCTGCTCCCCCAGCCCCCCC